GTGTGATCAGACGATCATTAAAAAAATAGTTGAAACTGTCTTGTGTCTGTGGTCTCCCACGTTTTTTAAAATCTAGAAAATTGTCTAGTGTGTAGCCAGCCTAAAAATCATTTGCTATCAACCTGTTGATCTTGCACTTCAATCTTGAAATATCCTTGCCATGACGATGGCTCCTCTGGCTAAGACCTGAGAATGAGATTAGAGAATGAGTAATGCAGTGGTAAAACCTAATTTCTTAAGTAGTCTTTAAGTTATTTGGGCAATACTTTTGAATTAATTGAATGTTACAGCTGAAGAGATACAGGACATGTTGGGGGAGAGAGTGGGACGCACCACAACTTAGCTATCTTTAAGGTCTCTAACTTGACTAAACCAACACTAAAATGAAAAAAGAAAGATATAAATCAGCCTCTCAATCAAATCCCACCTGGTTGCTTGTTGCAGATTTCCTCTGGACAGCTTCACCCCTTCTTGCGTTCTGTGAGCTATCTACCCCAGATTTAATTGCTCTGCTCTCTGTTTTTGCTGCCAAATCTCAAATCAATAGAATTCCAGAGTTCATATTGACCTCTGAATTGATCCCTATCTTGAGGTCAGAGCATTGTGTGCAAAATGTAATTAATTTAATTAGTTAAAATGCAAGTGACAAATCTAGTTCATGTTTCAAATTGTATTTCCATGCCCTTGAAAAAAGACCAAATTGACAAAAAGACAGAAATATAAATGAAAGGCACTAAAGTAAACCTTGAAAACAGGTGTAAATAATCTGATGTAAAAATCATTTTCAAAACATCTTCCCTGAGAGAACATCCATCACTTACCACGTAAATAAAAGTTGCAGTGCCTTGTCTCTCTCCCACTATGGTGACTTTGAACTGAAATTTTTTCCACTGTGTCACAGGGAATTGGCTTCTCCTTCTTCTGCACCTCCAGGGAGCTCACTGTTTTACTATCCACAGAAACGTCCCGGATCATGGAAATCTTGTGTTGTAATAGCTCAAAGTATCCCTCTTCAACATTGTAAGGTGGTCTCCTCACAGGTTTGTTACTTGGGCTACATTGCAGAAGAAGAAACACTACAATTAGCTCATGAGGGTTCAGGAAGCTTTGGAGAACCACCACTACTGTATTACAAATAATCGTGATTAGAAAAATCAAGTGTTGTATTTATACTTACACTGAGGTAGATGTCACCGTTATATCCATCTGTGCTAAATGTGAAATCTGCGACTCCATCAAAGTCAGTTGTGAGAGTCTGTTTGAGTTGTTCCGACCTAATTTCACCCTCAAAAGAGGTACACCGGCATGTCAGGAATGGGTGTATCGTCGTAATCAACTGCTTTGATCTGTTAGAAGCACAGAGGCATATCACTGAGGCTGCACAATACTTCAGTGGCTATACCTATGGACTCAATCAGGCTCTCTGAAAACATCAATCCAGCCCATTAAGTGTTCAGGAAATATTAGAATCATGATAAAAGTACAGCATTTAAAAAATAAAAGATGTCTTCCAAAAATAATAAATGGTGTTTATGTTGTTTCATTGATAAAAGATCATGGATATATAGCCAATTAATACTCTGTTGGTTAGCAGTCCAAATGTCTAACCCCTATAGAAGAACTTCCTCTCCGTCTTTTGCCGGCTCCACTTTTCAAAAAATATGTGCGCAACACGCTGTTTGGAGATTTTCCTTTTGTGACATCACAGAGGGGAGTAACCCCTCCCCCATGATGGTGACACACCCACGTCAGGTGTTTGTTCTAGCCTCTGAGTCTGCCTTTCCACTGTTAACAAATGGGCATGTTGCAGGAAAGCCCAAGACACCACATCACCTTCCGAGAGGGGGCGTGGTCAAACACACCTCATTTACATTTAAAGCTATAGACACAGAAACAGCCTGTTCTGGGCAGGGCTGAAATAGAGGTGTTAATAGGAATGTTAAAATACAGGATCAGAGTGTCAGAGAAATTTCATTTACATATTTGGGAACCTCTGAGACTTCTTTAAACTTTTTGAAAAACAGTATAATACGTGACCTTAAAGCAATCCATTGGCTCAAATCTTCTAAAAAGGTTGTGAAAAAATTATAATAAGATGACATCAGGTATAACAAGAAAGTGTTAATTTCTTTCACAAAAAATATGACTATAAACTGTTTTTATTCCATTTTTTTCAGGAGCTCCGCTCTTCCTCTCAGTCAGTCAGTGATTCATGTCGGAGCTCTCGTTCAGTTCGTTCACTGAACGAACTGAACGAGAGCTCCTCCTCCGAGTCACTCTCTTCCTCTCAGTTCGTTCAGTGAAACGAAACACTGACTGAACGTGAATGAGCGAGACTGCGAGTCACCAGCCTCAGTCACACACACACACACTGTACTGACTGAAATACGATTGTTAGTAGATGTTAAAACAGTCAGCTGAGTGAAATTAAGTTGGATATAAAAGCCGTTTGTAAACTGACGGCAGATATAAAAAGCACATACATTTTTGCGACACCTAAATGTTAAATAATATGTTTGCTATTTCCTCAATTTTGGAGACATGAGAGGGAGAAGTAGGGGCGGGCTTTAGAGACACAGAGCCCGACCGACTCCGTCCTGTTGGTTCAGTCAGTACGTATCACTGACATGAAATGGAGAGGGAGGGCGGGCTTTGAGCGACTCTTAAGGTCTGGAGAGAGATACGAAACGGGAGAGAGGAGAGCGCAACTGAAGTTGAGAAATGAACGACTCTTTTCAGTAAGTGATTCAGTTCATTCACCCAGATGATTCATTCGTTTTGAACGGATCGTTCACGAACTACACATCACTAGTGTGAGTATGGTTTTTTCAAGATGGGACTCAAATGCTAGAGGTGTTCTGTCTCACTTTCAAGATCCATTTTTCCCCCCACTGTGCGTCAAAAAAAAAAATACAAACAGCAGAGCGGAGAAATGTGTGTGCGCTGCCAGTCAGAGAGCAGGAGTAGAGTGTATGAGAGTGTGTGTGTGTGCAGGTGTGTGTGTGTGTGTGTGTGGAGCAGAGCGACAGAGCACAAGCTGCTCTGATAACGAGCGCTAACGGGCTAACAATAGCCTTACCAGGCAGTGAATGACTACAGTAATATAAATCACATTATTGATGAAATATGAGTTGGAGGGAGGTTTTATATAGAGATTAAGTATGTGTTGTTCAATCATTTTGAATCAGACTTGGATAACTTTGATCCACAAATTCTGAAATATTGTGATCCCAGCAGAGAGCTGGATTCGGGCTACAGGAACAAGATGTAATAAAACATATGACTTAGTTGAACAGAATTCACAAAGCATTTTTACAATGATGCTGATATACCAGTAGACTTTTGAAAAAAGATTTTGCTCTTGAATTGCTTGATTGTTACTATGACATAGCCGATGAGGTAGACATTGGAGTTGTTAAAAAAAAATCAATTTTGCTTCAATATTAAACAAAAGATAGTCCTAATTAGAGTCTTAATTAATTTAAATTCTGGCCAAAGTAAACTGGATTACCTGATCTTGAATAGAAAAAAGGATTTCCAAATCTGGATCATTCTTTTCCAGAAGAAACCTCTCCTGATGTTGAGAATCATACTTACTTTTCCTTCCACGTCTGATCCCATCGCGTAAACCTTTGGTGTGTCAATAAATATCAGCTTTCCGATAACAAAGGAAATCTGAATCCTCTTCTCTTGTTGATGTGTTATTCCTGAAAAAGAGGTCAGCGTGTTACAACTCTTTTTATACTTTGTGATATCTACCTGTATTGTATAACTCTTTTCAAAATATTAATGTTGTTGAAGTCATAGTCTTGCCTGTTTCCTCCTCCTCCACTTTGGCACTGAGCAGCAGCGACGCCTGCACCACTTTTACAATTTTTTTGAAAGTGGACATCTCAAAGAAAAAAGTGGCACATCCTGACTCATCCGCCTAAAAGAAAATATGATACAGTACATGATATAAAAAAATATTGAAAAAAAGGTTTGGCAGCAGGGGGATGAGCATGTCACTATGGCAACTGTACCTCCATTGTCTCCACGAAGCAAGGGGGCTTTATATCCTCTGTTTCCCTGATATACCGATAAAGAGGTCTGCACATCTCAGCTGTAATAAGGCCTGGCACAGACTGTTTGTATGTGTACCTGAAGAGATGGAGAAAATTATTAAGAATGTTTTTCAACAGTTTCTTCCCAAAGTGAAACTATTTTAGATTATTGAAGAGTGTGAGGAGTGACAGAGATTTGACTTACTGTGCACAAACTTTAACTTCGATTTCTTCCTGCCCAATACTGACTTTATCGGGTGCCTTTATATTTACTTCAAATTTAGGCAAAACTGCAGACAAACAATAATTGTTTGCATTGTTAGAATGTCGCTTTATTAAAAAATGTATTGCAATGGGAGAAAAACTAATTACCCACAACTTACCGTATTTCTCAACCTTGAAGTTCCGATAAATTTTGTTTTTCCCAATTGACACAATGATGTTATAGATTCCTTCACGGGCCTCAGCGTTCAAGGAGAAGGACAGCTGCAATATTTCGCCATTGGATGTTTCTTTCAACCACTGTCCAATCTTGTTGCTATTAGGGTCCTGTTAAATGCAAGGCAATAAAAGTATGCTATTGTTCTCTTCGTTGTGTTTTCTTTTTCAGCTTCTTTACAACAAGATGACAGAAGAAACTGAGCACACACTTTCAATAAAGCTCAAGGCCTAAAGTATGACAACCTTTAATTCCAGCCTCAAACAGATCCAAATCTATTCAATGGTAGGCTTCATTTAGCGTACAGTTACAAATGGTGTATGGTGGCCCTTAAGGTCAAAAACATTAAATGTAACACAATTGATCTAACACAAAAACATTCACAAACCTTGCAACTATGAGGTTCACTGGAAACCAAAATGTAAAACAATCTGTTTGAAGTGATTTTAGATCATTTCCTCATCTTCATAGTATAAGAAAAAGAGCACTTTGTCCTGATATAGATAGAGACCAGGAAGTACAAATACTAGAATTAGATGAGAATAAATTCTGTGTACAAATCGCCTTACCTCGAGGTCGATGATGTCGTACTGCAGGGAGAGACAAAGAGAGATATTTAAAGGACATGTTTGTTGTTGTTAAAGTCACCATGAAATGAAAAATACATTTTCCCGGTTTTAATCCAGCGTTCCTGTGATATAACGATTTATCTGCCAAACATGAAGCACTATAAGAGTATTTTCACCTTCAAATAAACACAACTTTCTACCTGTCATGTCCCCCAAATGATTGTTGTCCGCCTTTTGTTTGATCCAAAACAATGAGACACAGACACACAGACAGACAGACAGACAGACAGAGACACAGACACACAGACAGACAGACAGACAGACACACAGACAGACAGACAGACACACAGACACACAGACAGACACACAGACAGACAGACACACAGACAGACAGACAGACAGACAGACACACAGACAGACACACAGACAGACAGACAGACAGACACAGACAGACATGTTAATACTTTTCATTGATAAAATCCCATCAGAATAGGCCTACAGATGTGTTCTTACCAAAAGACCTTTGTATTCATTTCCCAGTATGTTTTTATGATTTTATTCATACATGTATGTGCAACATGTATTTTGACAACGTCAGAGCAGACAGAGCCTCCCCCCCGAGATCTCAGGCGCCCCCAGGTTTGGAACCAGTGTATTAGAATACAGTAGCAAACATACCCGAGTTAACGGTGTAAATGTAAAGAAGGAGCATGTCGGTTCAAACACTCACCAGCTGGGTTGCAGGTCTGAACTTGGTGTCGATGGTGACCACTCTGAATTTCACTGAGAGAGGAGAAGAATTCAGAGGAAGCTGAAACAGTCCATACAGATTTAATAAACTGTCAAAAGTGAAACCATATTGTTTACATCATCTTGGTTCAACTCTATTTATTAAAGGGGTAAAAAAAAAAACATTACACGCCCTAAAAGGCCTCCAAACACTGACATTAGAGCAACACAAAAGAACACAACAGCATAAAATCATACATTTATATTAGTAATTGAATGTTAAGAAAGGCCAGTAGCAGATCACACATAATGTCCATGTTTCGTCTGTAGCACTAAGAGGACAATTTTCATAAACAAACACACAGGTGGTGTAAATGGTAAATGAAAAGGGGCGGTTGTGGCTCAGTTGGTAGAGTCGTCTCTCCTGCAGCAGCATGTCCGATGTGTCCTTGGGCAAGACACTTAACCCTGAATTGACTAATACCAACTGAGCCACAGCCGCTTCTGTGTGTAGTGTTTTTATTTGTAAAGAGCAACAGACATTTGAAGGATTTTTGACACAATAATCCCTTAATGACCATGGTTTCTATTGAATTGAGCAACGTTTTTGTAAAGCTTCACAATCTGTTTTTAAATCCATTTGAATTTGTATTTTTTAGAAGAAGGCATCTCGGGACTCCACTCAATATCTCATGACCCCCTAGGGGTCCCGACCCCCGCTTTGGGTACCACTTGTAGACAATAACTCTGTAACTTCTTCAAAATTATTGATAGAAAAAATTAGCATCACTTTGTGTATCCAAACAAATTAGTAAAACAACATTAAAAACATGTTGGTATGGTTTTTTGATAACTCATGCATGAAAGGTTTTACCTGTTTGTCCTGGGAGGTAGATCGGTTTATCCGTTTGGACGAACGTCATTGGTTCGTAGGTTCTGATCATGACTTTCCTGACTTCTTTTGAGTAAAACTTTGCCCCTCGGAGCTCCACCTCAAAATCTGCCACCTCATCTTTCAGCCCTGATGGAACCTGTGTGGGAAGAAGAGCTATTAGATATTTAAAAAACTCATGACGACAAAACTGCAGTGAACCTAATTATTTTATAGACTCTGTTGAAAACCTTGAGTAATAGTATTCAAGCTGCTCTTATTTCATTTCTCTTTTCCTTTGTTTCCAACATAAAATGAAAACAGCAGAACAATGAATGACATCATACTTAATATAAAGATTACATTTATAACCCATCTGTTCTGAAAGGGTGTAAGATGAAAATGAAGTACCTCTTATTCTTTTAAAGTTACATCGATTGAGTAATTGTGAAAGCAGTTCAAAAATAAGAATAAAAAACTGACAAAGCAACATAATGCAACAAAGACAGTAATCAATAACAGCAGACACTACGTGGTCGGTTCAGACAGAACAAATGATATTATTTCAGATTAACCCTTTGTTCTCACATTCTATATCTGCTAAATGTTTTGAGGATGAACACCCTTTGTCGGGACACCATTAAGCTTCATATTGATGCTCATGACTTGTGATAGAGTTGGGTTTTTAGTGGCTCCACTGATCCAATGTTTAATCGTTAAACAAAGATGAGAAAGTGAAAACAGCCAAAGAGCAGCATTTAGAAATAATTGGACAATACAACTTTAATAGTAATAGAAACTGTTATTACAATATTGAAAATTTGGATTACAACTGTTTTGATTACAAAACACCTATATGACCTGGATGGCTTTTTGAATTTAGGTTTTCACTGGCTTTAACACTCTCAATGGACTTTTAGGAAATAAACAAAGTTCCTCAAACTCCATCTTTATAGCTGACCTGGAACTTAAAGACGTTGTGAAACTCCAGACAGCGTATCTTGTGCAAGAGTGTCAGAGTTCCTTGCTTGGTCCTCAAAGTGATAGTCATGACCATATTTCCTGCTAGGCTTCATGAGACTCACGCTGAAGCGAGATTCAGCCCCAGCCTCGAGAACTGCAGGTATGGCTACCATGTAATGTCTACACAAAGAAACACATACATCACAAAAAAAAAGTAAATAATCCTGTATTCTCCTCTATTTGATTTCCATTATGTCAATCATTTATAAATATCAAGTTAACATAAGTGGGTGAATCATAAGGATGATGCAGCACCAAAAAAAAAAAATAACATACATACAAACTGATTGATTACACACAAAAAGAAAACCATGATAGAAATTCTTTGATTTGCTGCAGGTAAACTTACGGAGCTGCCAGAGCGACGCACATCCAGGTCATCAAGACACAAAGTGTCCACATCTGAGTCCCAGGACGATCCATGACTGACTGCAATGAGCCTCAGACTGGACATCACTTATAAACCCCTGCCTATGCCCTGCTCTATTTGTTTACCTCCTCTATTTGTTTTTCATATGTCAATCATTTATAAATATCAAGTTAATACAGCGTTTGAGGCTAACAGAAATAAACCCTCTTAACCAGCTTGATCAGGCAAGTTTCAAAGCTCAATGACTCATGAATCATCATACACACTTTTAAAATGGTTAGATTAAACTAACAACAAGAACAAAAAAAAAAAAAATCTGAATTGTTTGTTGTAAGGTTAAATCCTGATGAATACAACCCTACACATGCAGTACACATATAATCCACTAGAGAGCAGGCTGCACATCAAATCAAATGATATCTAGACCTGTTTTGATACCACAGTATTACTAATAGAAGTCCAAGGCGCCCAATATTGGGTCATTTTCTGTTTCAATTATCAACATTTACAGGCAAACTCCTGTACACTGTCTTAATTGCACAAAAACGTTTCCAGTAGAGTTGTGTGGAAATTGTTGATGGATTCATTCGTCTCCTATGATGAAGCAGATGTTGTTGTTTTTTTTTTTAAAGATTTATTTTGGTCTTTTTGTGCCTTTATTGGAGAGATAGGACAGTGGATAGAGTCAGAAATCAGGGAGAGAGCGAGGGGGGAATGACACGGGAAAGGGGCCACAGGTTGGATTTGAACCTTAGCCGCCTGCTTTGAGGACCACAGCCTCCATACATGGGGCACGCGCACTAACCACTGCGCCACCAGCGCCCCGCAGATGTTGTTTTTTAAAGGTTTGGTACGTCTTGACACTGATCATTCAAATCAAAGAGATCTTAACGTTTTAAAACACGTGGTATCAAAAAATTGTCTAAGTACTTGATCAATAAAATACAATGTGATACAAAGTGCTTAGATTTACTGTGTCTTTCTTAAATGATGCATGAGGTGGCTAAACAATGAAATAACTGACCAAAAGGTTCTTCACAAGTTGTCACATATAATATTAAATGACGAGACTCTCAGTGACATTAGCTTTAAATCCTTAAAACTCTATATTCTGTATTCTAGAGTGATTTAATGGTGTTCATATTTCTGGAATTTTCATTTTGTCTTAAATGATGTTAAAGGAGTTTTGGTGGTGACATTTGAAAGTTGGAGTAGTGAAAAAATTCTATGCTATATTTTCTAAACTGAATACACAAACTTTACTCAAAGTTGCGGACCCCCACCATAACTTCTAGCATTGCATTTTATCTTCAAACAGTGATACAGGGACCACATTTCCCTCTGAGGACAGATTGTGTATAGAGTTATGAACATAACTCTGAATATGTACACTTATTTAACTTTCACATTTCTCTAATAACTCCATAGTGCACCGTTAGAGTGGATATTTCTTTTTCTTTTCTTTGTTTCAGACATATTCATATAATTATAAATATTATCATGTGTGTTTTATTTATCAGTTATGAGTAAACATCAACAAGGTCCTGTGAAGTTTCCTTAATCCCCCTCCACCTCTCCACTTCTTACGGTAAAGGAGAAAACAAAGATTACACAAACATTGAGTGAAATTATGGTATGTGTGTTAGCTATGGTTTGAGAGAGAAAAGAAAGCAGGACAAATCAGTGTTGCAGTAATTCCGTTCTGTGTTTTTGCACTTGACCCAGCATGGGACAGTTGACCTCTATGCAAACACACTGTAGAGTAAATGTTAGTGGGCTGATAAGACCATCAGGGCTCTCTTCAAAATATTGTCACAGGTCACAATACAGTAAGTGGTACATTTGCTGATAGTGCTACTTACAGGTCAAACAACAATCCCAACGATTCTCCAAAGATTTCATATGAATTTTGTCTGATAGGGATGATGAATTTTTAAACCAGTAAAAATTCAGAAAATGAAGCTCTCATTGTGTTCCAGTATAAAATTGTGTTCCAGTATAAAAACAGCATGAACATGTGTAGTCATATTCTCCTACTAGAACTGTTAAATGTGATGATTTGAGAAACATTAAACCCTCATACTTTTTCAAAAGACAACATGTCAACTATTGAAAATGAGAAATGTCATTGATTTTAGGAGAGGATATGCACATGTGAACAACAACAAAAACAAGAACCAAAACTGAAGCATACAGGTTACTTTGGATCTGGCCATCGATCTTATCGTGTTGCATTTGTTCCGATCCAGGGCTCTGCAAAGCTCTGCCCAAGCATCTTTAATGTGAGAATCACATCAATCAGAATCAGAATCAACAGTCATTATGTAATTGTATCCTCATGATAGTACTCTCTCCTCATCTTTATCTGTTTCCTGGGTGATACACCTGAAGGAGCTACTTGAGGACCTGTAGTTCTGAGTGCATTATTATTAGCTTTATTTCTAATTCTGGAGCTTCTGCTTGCTTTCTTTCCTGAGAAAGCATATTGGATTAATAACGTCCATACAACCATTTTCTATATCCACAAGGCTTTTTAGGAAAATGGAGTAAAAATTCACCTGATCCTTAAAAATCATCACAGTGAAACAGCATTTTTTCGGGAAGTCCTCCATTCACTTTTTTTTAGGTATCCAGAAGAGTTACATTATCAGAATATTACTGATACAAGTTGAAGACTGCATTTCAATCAATTGCTTGAGGCTGGCTGCCTAAACCGAGTGGCTACATTCGATGTTCAAAAATGAAGCCAGTGTGAAAGTTCAAATTCAGTTCTGCAGTTTGTCCAGTGTCCACTAGAGGCTGGCACAGGAGTCCCAGA